CTGCGGCAGGGAAGAGGAGGAGGAGGAAGAAGGAAGAGAAAACAAGAAACTTCTAACTGAAGCAGACCTCCAGCAGCTGAAAAGTCGACTCGCTGCTCTGGCGGAGCACTTTCGCCGCCTGCTGGCGCTCTTCGGCGCGCCGGTGAGCATCGTCAACATCAGCGCCGTCTACCAGGTCACCGCCTGCAGCTGCTTTCTCATGGTCAGTCAGCAGAATCTACCGAAAGGTGGTCAAGAAGAGGAAGAGGGACCGGGCCACTACGCCGGCCTTCACTACAACACGCCACTCATGTTCAACTTTCTCGCCTTCAGTCTGCTTCGCCTGGGCGTCCTCTGCTACGCCGGCAGTCTGATTGGCATTGCCGCACAGCAGCTGCTAAGGCGGATCTACGAGCACCTGCCGGCGGAGCCCAGTCTGCAGGCGTGGATGCTCTTTGCTGAGCTGAAGAGGCAGCTGAACAGTGCGAACACTGAAGATAAAGAAGGCAGCAGTGAGGGTTCGGGCGCCTTTCGGACCACCCTCTGCGCGGACACCTACTCGGTGAGGCAGTCATCAATGCTGCCCCTGCTCGGCTTCGCCCTCTCCTACACTGTAGTTCTACTGCAGACGGAAAACTATGGCGGAACAGGTGTTGAGGGAGATTTTGGGAATGCCTCCTCCTCCTCCTTTACTTTCAACTCTTCAGTTCAGCAGCAGCAGCAGTTACCTAATTTGACCAGTCCAACAGATCCGATGTAGATGCTGCTAACACGATACAAAGAAATGCCTTTTACATTTTTCGCTGGTTGCACTAACGGTTCAAAAACGGCCGTGGAAATTCCACTGTGGAATATTATTGTACCGATTGCCGCTACTGCTTGCTAATTGCAGTTGTAGTGAGCTTTTAGTGAGCATGGAAACGGTTTCCCTTCTCTCCCTTTTTGGGCTCTAGTGATTCATTGCCGCTGGTGTTTGTTTTAGTTGTTTTAGTACCGAGTTTGCCAAGTGTGGAGAAAGTGAAAGTCAACGTCGCAATTTGCTGGCTCTTTGACATTGGAAAATAGCTTCACACTGCAGGCACACCAGCAATGCCGATCTACAAACTGTGCAATTTCTTTCGATCAAGCCGGGGCCGAAACGATCGACAGCACAGTGGTGCTCGCGACCCAGGCCAAAAGCGACGAGGCGGCGGTGGGCCAAACAAGTCCTGGCAGCAGGACCGGCAGTGCACTCTGCTCGTCCTCCAGCGAGCCGTCGACCTGCTGCAGCTGCTCACGCTGAAGGTCGCCAAGATGCCCGCTTTTGAAACGGACCGATTTGTGGACGCCTCACTGGGACGCAGCAGCAGTGCTCATCAACTGCGCTGTCAACTGGAACGAAGCACCACACTGGAAGAAGAGGATGACGGTAGTGAATTAAGAAGTGGAAGTGAGAGTGGCAAGGGCCGACGAAAAGGTCGACGAAGGAGAAGCTCAAAGAGAATCTTCTTCGCCGTTCCGCTGATGATTGCCATCACCGTCTGTACGACGTGCTGCGCTTTTCTGATGGAGCCGAAACGGGCGCTCACCGATGTCCAATCACCGGTCATTGATTTTTTGGTTCCTGTATATTTTCCTGGTTTTTCTCGATTTCCTATTTTTTTGATAAGATTTTTTCTCTTTTCTTTTATCAACCCTTAGGTCATTTGCACTACAGTCTCCTTTATGGTGATCATTCAATTTTGGAAGAAAAGCCACACCTTTGTGAGCGTCATCCACCAGGTGTACGACAATCTGGTGGAGCTGCCGGCGGTGTACTGTCTCCCCGGTCCGGAAAGTGGCTCCTCAACGTCCAGCAACAACAGCAGCATCATTTCTTCTATTTCATCGAGCAGCTGCAGTCACATCGGAACAGTGGTCACCAGCAGCACTAACGCAAGCAGCAGCAACAACTGCAATGGAAGCCAAACACTGATGGCCTTGCGAACCTTCACCATGGCGCCGCTGAAGCACCGCGCCTGGGCACGGACGATGCAGAAGCACCACCAGTTTGCGGCGTTGATGTCCCTCTTCACGCTGCTCACCTCCATTCACCTCGTGGTGGGCGCCTCGCAGGCCCTCTTCGACGCCAGTGACGGCCCACTGACGCAGCGGCTGCTGATCACCGCCGGCTTCAGCCTGCAGGCGCTGCTCACGGTGCTCTACCCGCTGATCAACTACGCCTACGTCTGCCTCTGCGTCGTCTTCACCGTCCAGAGTGAGCACCTCAATCAGGTAATAAAACCAAAATAGAAACTAATTTCGCCTCACAATTCCCCTCCCAACTGTCAGTTCGTTCGCAGTCTGAAGGTTCGTTGCGGCGCCAGCCGTCTGCCGCTGCAAGAGGAGCTGCTGCTGGTGCGCGTCTGGTTCAGCCGCGTCGCCCGCTGTCTGCTCGCCTTTGACCGCTTTGGCCACATCATCTTCTTCCTCCTCTACTCGGCGCAGATCGGCTCGATGCTGCTCAAGTCGGTGCAGGTGCACGAGATCTTTGCGCGGGGTGCCTTCACCTTCACCGACTACGTGCACTTCATCGAGCTCGGTCTGCTGTGCTTCGGCACCATCCTCCACATGCAAATCGTCTACAATCTGAACAAGTCGATCGCCAAGCCGAGTCACTACGTGGTGGAGTTGGGCGCCCATGGTGGCCTCCACGAGCCGCCGGCCTTCACCGAATACCTCGCCCACGTCGCCGGCCGCTTCGCCTCTCGGCAGTACCAGCTGACGCTGTTGCGGGTGATGTCCATCGGAAAGGAGTTCTTTATGATTACCTCCTTCTTCATCATCACCGCGGTCGCCTCGTACGGCTCCTTTGGGCAGGTCGTCTCCAGTGTCAATCATCAGCTGCACCTGCTTATTTAGATCCACTGGGTTTAGTAGCACTTGTTTGTTACATATTATATTGTAAACTCCTCTTTTGAAAAAAACTTTTGTGTGACTAAGTTACTTTTTTATTATATTTTTTTAGAAATGCTTGAATTCAGAAAAAAGGGAGAGAAAAAGCATAAACTGCAAAATTAGACTTGTTTCTATTTTGAATCAAAAGGAATGACAGCGGCGCTGGCAATGCCGCAGTTGTTGTTTCGGTTTCGAGCCATGCGAATGTAGCCCGATTCGCCCCAGCCTGAAAAAACACAAGTCAAAAAGATGGTCAAGGTCAAAGAGGAAAAGGGAGAAGAAGAAGGTCCCCACAACTCACCAGTGCCCCAGCTATTCTTCACCTTCCAAAAGGCGGCCCCAGACTGCGCATCGACTCCATAGCCCACAACGGCCACGGCCATATCGAGAACAGTGGAGCTGCAGGCGGGCTCATAGTAGACGCCCCCGGTGTAGAGCATAAAGGACTGCTGGCTGGCGTCAATGAGCACTGCCACCGGACCACCCAAGGCAGTGTTCAGCTGGAGATCATACTCAGAGCCAAAGGGAATGTCAACGTAGATATAGACGCCAGTGCCCCTGGTAGCCGGGTTGTAGGCGCATTTTCCCTGAGGAAGCGGGTAACTGACCTCAGTGTCGATGCCTCCAAGCTTGATGACGCACTGGCAAGAAAAGAGAAAGATTTATTGTGATACGTTTTAAAGATTTTTTATGGTAAAAATCTTAGTACCTGAAAAATGTTATCATACGGCCCCGATGTTCCATTGTAGGGGCTGCAGCAGTCCTCCAGCTGAGCTTCAGAGAGCTTCACCAGGTGACCGGTCTGGATGGCGTGCGACGACTCGACGGCGGCCACCGAGCTGAAGGCCCAACTTGCGCCCAGCTGGCCTTGGTTTTGCACCGGGCTCACAACGCCCTTTGCCACCCAGTCCACTGATTCGGGGAGAGCTTTGTTTTTTAAGGTTTTATTTTGGTTTTGGTTTTTAGGCGTAAAAACTCGTCGAACGCGGAACTCTGCCGAAGTTTGGTCAGCAAAGGGCGTCACGCCGACGGTGAAGCTGTGCAGGCCACGGAGGTGCTCCTCATTGTGGGTGAAGATAAAGTCGAGGTTTGAGGCAAAGATGGCCTTGCGTTTGGTTTCTTCGGCGGCGGAGGCGTAGATGCGGGAGTTGTCGAGCTAAGGAAGATTAATAAAAGGTTATATTTTGAAAAATATTTTGCAAAACTTTTTACTTTGAACTTCTCAAACTGAGCAGTGACCTCGTCATCGGAGAAGTGCTTGCTCAAAGAGGCACTTGCTACGACTACCAGCGCGGAAATGAGGATAAAAAGTTTCATTATTTGTTAAAGTTTTGTTTTAGTCAACAAAAAAACTGTAATTAATCGTTGCAACATGTGTCTTTTTATAGCCAAATAAAAAGCCTCCTTTTATCTTAGCAAACTTTGCAATTTTAAAGTTTTAAGTGGTCAACAAAGTTGATATAACAGGCTTTCTGGAGTGGCTTTCAATGAGAGCTACTAAAAAAGGTGCGCAGGGTATTGCACAAAATTTTTGTACGATAAGATGTTTACCGTGTTTTGTACTCTTGGCATGTACAAATCGTAACAGTCGCACGTAACACTTGTATTTCATTAAAACATAAGATATGTTTTATAATTTTTAACTAACAAAAAAATGAGAATGAGAAAACCACAACGGTGCGCAGATGTTCAAGTTGTGTCTTCACTGCACACTTGCTTCTCACCTGATAATATACACTTAACGTCAATGATAAAGTGGTTGAACTTAATTTAACCGTCAAACACTTAAAAACAAATGTACACCTTAGCTTAAAAATTAAAATGTTTTTCTCTTTTAAACCTTTCGGGCAGGCCCTTGGGGCTGACCGATGTTGATTGATACGGACAGAAAAAATGAAAAAGTTGTTAGATGTTTTCTTGTATTCTAATCATCTTTAGAAAAATGCTATTTGTGCCTCAACTGTGCCCACTGCAAGTAAACTTAGCGTTCTTATCAATAAAACAATCGCACATCAGTATCAGTCTAACAAAACTTATCAGCAGATAAGAAGCGAATTATCTTTCCCTTTCAAACCAATGAGCCAGTCATTCGAGCCAGTCGTTCACTCAAACTCACTCAAACACTGATCAACAAGCAGCAAAACAAAGGAGACTTTGAAAACTCTGAAGTGTTTTGACAAGATGGCCTCTCATGTTCTGTGCCTGGCCACCACTCTGGTGCTGTGCTTCTCAGCGGGCGATGCCCTTCTGAGACGTGGTCTCTTTCCGCCCACCGGTCCGGCCAATGTGCACATCACCCACCGAAACCATTACGACCAAGACAACAGCTCTGCCCTCTTTTTGACGCCGTTCATAAAGTCAGGCCAGTTGGCCGAAGGTCGTCGACTAGCTCAAGTGGGCGTCCTCCCGGGCGGTGCGCCGGCGCAGGTGAAGAGCTACGCTGGCTTTCTCACCGTCAACAGCTCCTACAACTCCAATCTGTACTTTTGGTTCTTTGAAGCGCTGGTAAGGAGCAAAACATGCAGAGGACAATAACAATGTAAACAACAAAAGACTTACTTACTTTTTTAACAAATCTTCCAGTCGGGCAAAACTGACGTTCCGGTGTTGCTCTGGCTTCAGGGTGGCCCTGGCGGCAGCTCTCTGTTTGGTCTTTTTGTGGAGAATGGCCCCTTTGTGGTGGACCAAAAGCTGGGAGTGACGCTGCGCAATCACACCTGGAATGAGCACTTTGCCGTGCTGTACATTGACAATCCAGTCGGTACGGGCTTCTCCTTTACGGACAATGATAAAGGTAGGTGGAAGTTTTGGTTGGGATTGGCTCTTCAGGCTCTTCGACCTGCTTCACATTTGTTTAGGCTATGCCCGTGACGAGAACGACGTGGCTCGTGATCTTTACGCCGCCTTGGTGCAGTTCTTCACCCTCTTTGAAGCCTACCGCGGGAGGCCGTTTTTCGCCACAGGCGAAAGCTACGCAGGTAAGGACTTTTGCAGCAGTACTCACAAACTGGTGTGTAAGACTTTTACAACTCACACAGGCAAATACGTGCCCGCCATCGCCCACCGAATCCACCAGGCGGGCGACGAGGCCAAGGCGGCGGGCATCAACCTCCAGGGACTGGCCATTGGCGACGGCCTCTGCGATCCGCGAAACATGGGCGGTTATGGGCCGTTTCTTTTTCAGGTACTCCAAGCGAATGTGTTGACCATATGTCTCAAACCTTTTTTCTTCACTCAGGTTGGCCTGATCGACGAGCCGCAGCGAGAGCACTTCAACCAGGTGGAGAAGGCGGCGGCGGAGCTGATCGACGCCGGCCAGTACTTCAAGGCCTTCCAGCTGTGGGACGAGCTGCTGAACGGCGATCTGACGGCCAACACCGGCTCCTACTTCAAGAACGCCACCGGACTCAACTTTTACTACAACTTTCTCCTTGACACGGAGCCGGCCGATTTTGAGTACTACAACGCCTACCTGGGCCTGAGCGAAACTCGAGAGGTAGGGTTTCTCAGAGATTTGAGCTTTGTCTTTGTTTACCAAACTTACGGTCTTTTTATTTCACAGGCCATTCACGTGGGCAACCGCCCGTACAATGACGGCGCCGCCGTGGAGCAGCACATCGTCAATGACATCATGCAGAGCGTGCGACCATGGGTGGAAGAGCTGCTGGACGCCGGCTACCGAACGCTGATCTACAGTGGCCAGCTGGACATTATCGTGGCGGCGCCGCTCAGCGAGAACTTCCTCCAGGCGCTCCAGTGGAAGGGCAAAGAGCGGTATCGAGCTGCACCGAGGACCATCTACAAGGTGGGCCAGCGAGGTGGTGCTGGTGATAATTCTCAGGAGCTGGTGGCCGGCTACGTACGCCAGGTGGACGGCCTCCTCTACCAGATTATCATCCGCAATGCCGGCCACATTCTGCCGTACGATCAGCCACTGGTGGCGCACGACATGATCACTCGATTTGTGCGGGGTGACCGCTTTTAGTGACTACTGGCTCCATTTGCTAGATTAAAGCATTGATTTTGTGTTTATCTTGAAGAAGTCTTGTCATTCTCTATTTTTTTCCGCAACTGAACTCCGATGTCTGATGTCGTCCTTTGTGAAGGGCTGTTTTGGCGAAATTTAAAAACGCTGATGACGCTTTCATTTCAGGTGAGAGATGATGCGGATTCTAATGAGCTTCTTATGTAATGTGCGATTTCCAAAAAAACTTTAGCAATAAAAGATGTAAAGATATCTAGAGAATGGTAAGTATTTTTTAAACCTTTCCAGAAGTTCCTGGTTAACAGTCAAATCATGAAAGGTCAATAATGAATTGACCAATTCTTACTCATTGTTTACTCATTTGTTATCATCATCATCATCATCACAAGGCCACGTGTGCCAAGCAAGCAGTACGGTGCAGAGGGTTACTCAGCCAGTCATCATTTTCTCCTCCTTCTCATTTGGTTCTGTGACTCTGTCGAAAGCGGTTCGACTTTGCAAGTTCACCTTCTCATCTTCCATCTAACTCTTCAAAGGACACTCAAAATGGCCATCGAGAAATATCCCACTGAAAGCATTCTCCGAATGTTGGCCACCCTGGAGCCGACCATCGAGGCTTTGCTGAAGAGCAACACACCTATGTCTCCCATCGTAAAGGAAAAAATAGAACAGATGGAGAAGATTGTCAGCTTCATTCCTCTTGATGAAGAAGCGATTGCCGCTAGTTGGCATTCGAAGTTGGCAAACTGGTGGGTGGAGTTTGCCACACAGCAAATTCCCTACCTTGTGCTTGACCCTAGTAAGGAAGAACTGGAGATGATCACCCCACCACCTTCCCCACTATTTGGAGTTCGTCGACGAAAAGACCCGGTTGCTATGATTCAAGACGCTGTCAACAAGTCTGCTTTGATTTCTAGCTCTCACAATGTTTCCGTTTCAATTTCATCTGAAAAGAATTTTGATTTGTCCTCTAACCTGACGGCTTCTGCTTCAAAAAAGGGATACCTGTCTCCGCCAGCTATGAAAGACTACTGCTTTGCTGTACCAGAAAATCCAAAGGCTCTACCACCGTCCAGCTCAAATGACCAACCAGCTATTGTTTTTAAATCTGAATCCAACTTCTTTCAGCAAGTTGGAAACAACAGCGAAAACTTTTCAACGATTCCTAATGGAAATGCTCCATCAAGTGCTCCACTAAACACTGATACCCGTTCAGCTGCTGTCGTACTGGAACGCGAATCAACCTTCAAGCAAGTTTCGGATAGTTCAGCGCAAGTTGCAGCTCATACTGCCGCTAAAGAACATCTGCCCTCCCGCTCACCGCAAACTCCTTCAGCTCTTTCTGAAACTGCTAATGCTCGCCCTGTCAACGGCGTCTCTTCTCCAATTGCTCCCAAAGACCGCTATCCCTTAACGGTGCCTCTGAACTACGGGTCGGCGACTACTGCAACTGCTGCTGAATCAACTGTCACTCACTATGGCCATCAGCAGGCACCCTCTCTTCCTAAACCTGAACCGGTCTTTGAACCAGTCCCAGATGACTTTGACTGGGCCGCACCGCCCAAAAATCCAGTGCGCCCTAACCCTTTTGCTAGCAGCCGCACCTACCTAGGAGAGAAAAACTTTCCGCACACCAACCGATATTAGGAGCGTGCTGCATCCATCTTTCTTCATCTAATGAATTAGTTCACAACACGCGAGCAAGCACTGTGCTCTCTATTTTGAAAACCTCTAGCTTCTACCTTTATCTTATTTGATTTTCCTTGCACCGCAACACATTTTACTAAATAGCAAGCGAATGCATCATTTGAATGGTTTACTCTTATTAAAACTTTACACGCCCTAAGAGATGGCCGCCAAAAAGTAGCATTTTTAATAATAGTGAAAAAAGAAGTTGACCATTTGGTAGAAATGGTGACGCAGTTGAGCGCGAAAGGGCGGAAGGGAAAATGAAAATGGTTACAATTTGAAGGAAGTAGGCGGGGCAGTAGAAGGAGGGGCCAGCCAACAGGGGGATCCCTCATTTGGAGAAGCCAGACGAGGTCGAGGAGGAGGAGGAAGAGGAGGGCGGGCCGCGGTTCATGTTGCTCGCAGCTGACTTGGCCGCCGCCTTGGTGCCCGCACTGGCCGCAGCGCCCACCACACGTCCTCCCTCGACGACGTACTGACCGGTGGCCTTGGTGCCCTCCACCGCCATGCCGCCCACCGCCTTGCCTCCCTCCAGGGCCACTCCACCCACCGCCTTTCCTCCTTCCAGGGCAGCGCCGCCCACTGCTTTGCCGCCCTCCAGGGCAGCCCCGCCCAGCTCCCGGCCTTCCTCCAGGGCGACGGCGCCCGCCGTCTTGGTGCCCTCCACCACCACACGACCGCCCTCCACCACATACTGCCCGGCCACCTTGCCGCCTTCCAGCGCCAGGCCACCGACCGCCTTGGAGCCGTCGACGAGGGCGTCGCCCACCACTCGGCCGCCCTCCACCGCGTAGCCGCCCACCACCTTGGCGCCGTCCACCGCCATGTGACCTGCCTTCTTGGCGCCTTCCACTGCGCCGTGGCCCAGCGAGCTGGCGCCCTCGGTGATGGTCTTGCCGACGGTGGAGTTGGCCGCCGCCTTGGCGCTGTCCACCATCACCTCGCCGGCCGCCTTGGTGCCGCGGAAGATGACCATCAGGCCGCGCCAGAGGATGCTCAGAAAGCCCATCACACCGCCGCCGATGCTGTCCGCCACCTCGGTGGCCTCCTCGGTGGCCGTCGCCGCGGCCTCCTTGATGCCCGCCTGGTGGACTTTGTAGCAGCCGATGCAGGCGAGCAGCAGGAGGATGACACCCACAATGATGGCAATGCTGACGATTAGAGCTGCTTAGATTGGGAGTGATGACAGTTGGTTTGTTCGAAATGACACGCAAGCAAACAGAAGCTACTTACGCATGCTGCCGTCATCCTTAGTGTCGGAGATGGCGTTCTCCGACTGGAAGGACCCATCATCCTCTTGAGCCGGGTAGATGGGCTGCTGGGGCGGCTGCTGCTCCTTTGCTTGCTCAGCAATGGGCGGTAGCTTGTTTGAGTGCTTCTTGTTGGGGTGAGACTCTTTGGGAATAATGAACTTCTTGTTTGAGCCACCTGAACGGTGGTGCAGGCCAGCGTTCTTGTTGCCAGCTGAACGGTGGTTCAGACCAGAGTCTTTGCTACCGTAGTAGTGGGTAAAGCGTCTTGGGTATTCATATCGCTTTATATTGTCCCATGAATCGACGGCGCCCAAAATTAAAAGCAGGCCAATGGTGCTGAGGAGCATCTTGAAGAAGGCGCTTCCAAACTGCATCTTCGGCAAAATCAGTGTCAAGAAGTGTGTTGCTTGGGTATTTGACAGCTGAAAAGTGTGTTTCAAAAGAGGAGTGTCTGCTGTTGCGCGACGAAACAAACGTGGTCGTAGAAAGGTGCAAAGACAAACAACAAAATCGAAACACAATACAACTACACTGCAAACAATAACTGGAGAATGAGAGTGCTCGGAAAGAGGGAACTTGGTTTTAATACGACGTAAACTGGCAGAAAAAGAAAAAGATGACGGGCTGAACTTCGAACTTCGAAACGACCGCCATTGTTGTTAGCAGTAGTAATCTTATTGAATGAGCTTGAATGAGTGCAAGAAGAACTGCTCGATGAACAGATTTCTTCATTGCTTCTTTAAAGTGCACTGCCCACCTCCTCGAGACTTGATCTGACTGCCGTAGACCTTGGGCAGCTTGACGTGCATCTTTGAGTTGCTGCTTCGCATCTGCAGATTCTCCTTGATCGTCTCCTTGCTCCGACTCTGTCTGATCGACTGGCGCGACTTTACCTTCTCCTTCCTCAGCGTCTTTGGCTGCACTGGTTGTTTTTGTTGTTGATGTTGCACTGCACTTTCGACGCTGTTGTTGTTACTTTCAGAGCTGGCACTGGAGTTGGTGCACTTGCTTGGAATTCGAGAGCGCAGCAGCATCTTTTCTTTTGATTTTGCTTTAGTGAGGAGATGATGGTGATTGCTCTCTTTCGAAAGATTGGGGTTGCTGCTGGTCTGAGGGGCGTTGGTATTGGCATTAGTGGCACTGGCCACTCTGGGCGTTTTCAGTTTTGTGGGCGGCACCTTCTTCAGCGCCTTCACTGCTGCCGCTGCTCCAGTGGCAAATTTCAGCTTGATAACCTCCTTCTGGTGACTACCTCCTCCTTTTTTAGTGGTCACTCCTTCAGCATTCCCATCCACAGAGACGGTTTTGACGGTAAAGTTCTGCGTCACAGTAGACTTGATGCGCTCCGGAGTGTGCTGTTTTGGGTGCCCTCGAGGTGCAGCAACAGCTTTCTTGTAAGGCGGCGGCATCGCCGGACTACCTTTCCCGCCGCCTTTTCCGCCGACAATCACCGCTCGGTAGCCGCCCTGCTTCTTCGGCACCAGGCTCACTTGTTGACCCGTCTTGCCGANCCGCCGCCTTTTCCGCCGACAATCACCGCTCGGTAGCCGCCCTGCTTCTTCGGCACCAGGCTCACTTGTTGACCCGTCTTGCCGAGGTACAGTGTCTTCACTCGAGCTGCAGCCGCCGCAGCAGTTTGACTGGCAGCCGCAATCTCCTCCTGGTTGATCATCGAGGCGGCGCTGACACAGCCGCCTTCAGGTGCGAAGCACGGCTGAATGGAGGCGTGGACGGTGGAGCCAGGACGAGGGGGAGGGTGTTTACCAGAACCTGTTGCCCCTGATGACGCTGGCGCCGGTGAGGCTCTGCTCTTCTTCACCGTTGGACTGCATCGCTTGAATGGTTGTGATGACGTCTTTGGACGGGCAGCGCTGACAGCAGCGGCGGCAAAGGGCGACTTGGTCCACTTGCTTTTTACCACGGAGGCGGCAGTGTCTGACAAAATGAAAATGTGTTTTGAGTGGGGAAAAAACTTATGAAAAAGAGAATCACACTTTTTCCTTCAAAGTGAAATCCGGTCGACTCTTCAACGGCAGTCTTTTTGGGGGACGCACTAGG